GAGAAAAAAAAAAAAAAAAAAAAAAAAAGTGAATAATAAGATTTTTTTTTTTTTGAGACAGGGTCTCACTGTGTAGTTGACGCTTGCCTTGAACTCAATATGTAGCTGAAGTTGGCCTTAAACTTGCAGTGATCCTCCTGCCTCAGCCTCCCAAATGCACAACATTTTTAAATTTAAACGTTCTCTGTATCTTTTCATGGCCCCTTATATTTTTGCTTTGAATGCACACTTTGTTCTCCTTCCTTCTCCCATCCTCTCTTCTGGCCTAGAGTGAAGATGAGAAATCTGCAGGCACAGGAACCATTTTGCGATCAGGAGGACAATGACCCCATACTTTTGGGGGATGAGGTGGCCCTTGGTAACTTCCTGGAACCATTTCCCCAGCTCTGGTCTGCATAGCTTCAGACTTTTTTTTTCTTTTTAAATCAAGGACACTGTTACACATAACTGAATGCAATCCTGGCTGATGTGGCAGGCAGAGCACCAGCTCTCAAACTCTGCTGCACATTAGAAATACCCAGGGAGCTCTGAAAAAGCCCAGCAGCCAGGATACACCGATACCATTACCTCAAGTCCCTGGAGCCAGGGACTCAGCGTGGGCATTTTTGGGGTTTTGTTTTGTTTAATGTCTAGATGACTCCAGTGTGCAGCCAACTTTGAGAACCAGTGGGCTAAATTCTCAGACTTTTGAGGGCAGAGGAATCGGCAGGCGTCTTGTAGGTTCTGATGCAAACAGAATGTAGGTGGGGCCCAATGACCCACATTTCCAACACGCCTCCCAGCATGGCAGCTGCTGCCCCACAGGCCAGGCCTGGAGTCCCCAGGGGTGGGAATATTGAGCTCCTTTGGAGTTCTGCTAAGAATCATTGCCACAACCATCACCAGATCATCTTTTCCTGCCTTTGACTCCTCTCCCTTCTTTTCGTTCTTCTTCTTCCTTCACTATAGACCACTGACCCCCATGGACGTACTGAGCGGCCCCACATGCCAGGCACTGGGCACAATAACTCACACATTCCAGCACTAATCCTGCTGACAGCTGTGTGAGGCCACTCATCTTCTGAGCCCGGTGAGACTTCAGCTTGGTCCGGGTGCATCGGATGCAGGCTGACGTTTATGATTCCCTGGGCATCTATTTGCACAGCTGATTTGCGTGGAGGTGTTGAGCATTTGTTTTCGAGTTTGGATTCCAGGGGGAGGGAAGCTGTGTGCTGGAGGGGCCGGGAGAAGGGTAGAGGAGGACACAAGAACACTGTGGGGGACAGTGTGGTATCTGGTCCCCAACCGGGCTCCAGGACTGGTCCCTTGGGACTGAGGGATCCTCTCTGACCATGGTTCAGCCCCTGTGCTGGGAGCCTACAGATGACCTGCTGCTTTTCTAGCCTCTTGAAGGTTTCGGGAGTTTCTGTTTGGCTTTGGAAGCCATGGAAAGACAGCAGAGCCATCCGGACAGCTGAATAGCCTACACTCTACCGTCCCTGAGAAATGGCAAC